TCGTCACTTTTAAACGGTAAGGAACAAAAACAATATATCTAGACTACAAATCCTCCATCACAGCCCTATTTTAACCTAAATAGCTTATTACATATGTGATAAAAAAAGTGACGAAAATAGTGTGGTGTTTGAGGGTTAATATGTCCATGATTAGAAAAATGTAAAATATTAATTAAACTTTTCTTTGGTTTCCGGTGTACAGCCATCTTTGCACTTTCGTTTTTACCAACTTCAGGTCACTTTTTGGATGGTTTTTCAGGACAGCACCTATAATTTTTATTTATCATATATTTTATATCTACTATTTCATTAAAACAAAAATGCTATATTATAGAATTATACTCACAGTAAACAGCTTCCATAATTTTACTATTTGATAGTGAAATTTTGGTATCTTTAGTACCTCCCCAGCTTATTGCTCTTGCCAATTTATTATTTATTAGCAGTTTTGATACCAAGTACATAGCACATTGCCAGTCATTTCCTTGACTGATTGTGCGACCCACAAAGTATTGTACCTAAATATAAAATATTTTTGTATAAAAAGAAAATTATAAATATAATAAATTTTATTTATTTTAAACGTACCACTGCAGAGAAATTCGTAGAATTATTTAAAAATTCTTCAAACGTTTCATATTCATTAACTGACTTCAGCGGAAGGGCCGGCAGGTTATTTGGTCTTAAGAGGAGACTTTCCTCTGGTGCTAAATGCGTAAGAATTTTTGTTGTGTTCATCATTACAAAATCAAGTTTACTGCTTATTTCTTGAAGCAACTCTGTCTTAACTTTGTCTACGGCAATTGTGTTATCATCTAAATAATGTAAACAAATAATAAATGTAAAATATATAATAGTAAATAAAATTTTAAATTCTTTAAATATATACATACTTGTTGATTGATTCTTACTGGAAGAAACAAATGTTCTAAATGAATTATTGTAGTTTGCATCATGAGACCTATTTTCTTTAGAATGCTCGCTACTTGATATAGGTGTAATCTCAGAGTGTTCCTTATTTAAATAAGTAGATTGACATAACTCCTGCGAGATACTTTTATAAGCGTTGTCTGCTGAAGTAATAATTACTTTACTATTTTCCTTTTGTACATTTTCTGTGTATATAGAATACAATAAGAATATCATAAGTAGAAACATGAAAGAACAGCAATGTAGAAATAATTGTGCAGTTAGTAGAAATAACTTAATTTCCAAATGTTATTGAAAATAACTATAACTTACGTATTATTGGAGTGAATAGTAAAGCAGATTCTGATTGTTGAACATTATTTCCAATCATACCAGAGGTATTTGGAAAGGACATAGGAATTATTGCTTCTGTTACTGCGTGTGCAGCGGCACCTGTTTGCTTATGTATTATTTTAGTATGTGAGTGACTTTCTGTTATATTATTTACATCAACCAAATAGTCCTTTTTTGAATCATGTGTATTAATTAAATCCTTGTATTTCATAACCATAGAAATCTCCTTGTCTTGAGGAACCTTTGGTTTTCTACTATTTTTCTTGGATAGTAATGTTGCAACTTTGGCCTGAAGATCTTCTTCTAGCGTTTCCTCATTTTCACTGTCGTCAGACAGTAGTTGATTTGATGTACAACTTTTCTTAACATTGTAATGAAGATTACATTCATCTTCGGTTGACTCTATGAAATATTTCGGATTTCTCTTTCTTTTCCTTCGATGATCTATATCACTAACTTCAGTTCCTACTGTCTGATCTTCATCATTTTGAAGATTAGCTGCCTTGCGTGCTTTGTTGTATGTATCTAAAATAAACTAACAGATTTTTCGCTATAAATAATAATTACAAATTTTTACAAAAAAAATAAAGAATGTGATATAAACAGTTACCATAGCTGTGACAAAATTTAACATCATATGTAGGCCACATTTTGTCCGGTTCAGCTAAACTTAATATTAATTTTGATCGTCTATCCGTATTTCCACGTTTAGAAAAGTTTGGCCAATATGCCTTCGTACTTTTAGCAAGTAACCAAGAAGTTGGTACAACGTCGCTTGTTGGTTCAGTATCCTCATCATTTGGAAGAAAAGTAACAACTGCATACTGAAACAAACACAATTTTCTAATAACCACAAAATAAGGTGAATGTTGATTAGTTTCTAAATAATAAAAAAAACACTAACCATTATTTAAACAATATATGTGATAATATATGAATATTCGATACATAATTACATATGTACAGTATATTACATAATAATTTAAAGTTAGTTATGATTATGTATAAGAGGAATTACAACAAATTCCTCATTTTGCACACACAAAGGTAATAAAACACATTTTGCAGCAAACTGTAAAATATCCCAAGAATGAACTTCAGGATGTAGTGAGCTCACTTTCCAGATATCCAATCGTGAGGAATCACATGGATATGTGTAATAGTCAGTCATTGTGCGAAATTTCTGACCGTTTAATATTATTCTGCCTTCAAATGTATGAATAACATTTCTTAGCACCACTATTGTACTGGATTTGGTAAGAAAACATCGATCAGCTAGATTAGTGTTTAAAAGAACTCCGCCAATTTCAATAGAAGAATACATATATCCTTGCACATTATCTCTTATATTTTTGTTTAGACCATTTAACTTTACTGTTTGATCATCTGACTGAAATATTTTTGATGTTAGATGACCTTTAGTTTCAAATTCTCTATTAGCCAATTGTTGAAGAGGTTTATAAGTAGAACGCAAACAATCCTTTATTATCATGAAAAAATTTTCGTACTTAAATGCACTAAAAGAATCAATAGCACCATTTAAACGGCATTCCTCTGGCAAATGGCACAAGCTGTGCACATTATATACTATAAAATGTTTTCCAAATATTTTAATGGAGTGTTTTATAAAATGGCGAATTATCACATTAGCAATAGATATCATATCTTGTACTAAATCGGGTCTTGCCAACATATACATTGATGATTGCAAGAGAATATAGCTTTTCCATAAACTTTTGTCTAAGTGTTTGAACACAATTAACCCATCATAAAACAGTATACGTCTGAATTCTGTGCCTTTAAATTTTGCTAAATGTTTGAATGTTCGTGGTCTTCGATTAAAACTCTTAGGAATATACGAAGCTAATTGTAAAATCTTATTATTTGTCTCCAGTACGTCAGCTTCTGATGCAATTCCACGTTTGTTCGAGCCTAATACAAAAGTAAGCCATCTCTTCCAAACACCTGCATAAAGTAAATGTAAGGCATCCAGCCTAAATTGTGAAACCATTCCAGTAGGAATTCTTTCCAACGGTGAAACGTCAGTATGATGCAGAATATTTGATCGAATACGAAATGACTCATCCGTTCTTAAGGCAGCGTCCAAATTCAAAAAGATTCGTCTACGTAGATAGTATTCTCCCTCAACTTCACATTTTTCGCATGCAAAGCGACCATTATGACCAATTGTACATTTAATTAATGATCTTGCCGGGGCATCAAGCACATAATTACGGACTCGAAATGGATAAATATGTTCAAATACTTCAACACCTTGTTCTTGTAAATTTTTAACTTCTTCCACATATTGTCCTAAAAATATTTCTCTATCATTTGGCTTTTCTTTTCCAAAATAAGCGGCTACTATAAATGGCTGAGGATCATCTTCAAAGCAACCAAGTATTGTCCAAAAACAATCATTTGTACTTTTAAATGGATCCAGTCCATCTATATTAACATCCATTATTATCTCTTGATGATATACGAAATATTGTTCTAAAAGTCTTTCATTAATATTTTGTTTAATACCTTTATAAAAGAATTCTCCATTTCCAAGAGGAATCGTAACTGTTATACGAGGAGTATGCAAAAGACTTTTATAACTCTTAGGCAGATTGGGAAACAAGACTGCGAGTATTTTTAGAAGGTTATCAACTTTAACAAAGCTTACACCTTTCATTGCCCATTTTCTTAAATTTCTTAGCAGATACATTTCTTTTTTATCATTACTCCGAAGAAACTCATTAATATTTGTAGGATTTTCCTCAAATATTTCACTACAACTTGTTAAGGCCTCATCTTCACTATGATCATCTGCAGTATCAACGCTATTGTCCATATTGTTCAAATCAATCTCATGATCATTATTATTATTATCGCCATTTGTATATGTGATGCCATATCGACCATGTATAACATCATCACTGCATCATTATCACTACTATCTGTACTTAAATGTGGAAAGTCACCAAGCGAATCACAATTATTGTTATCTGAAATTTCATGAACTTTTAAACCTAATTCAACAACTCTAATTTTATGTGTTATCTCTCGCCTAGCATGTCTTGTTCTACGTCGTTTATTCTGTAAAAGTAGTGAATTAATTCAATACAATGTTGTGATGTGATGTAGTACATTGATGCGCACAGTATTTATCAGACACAGCAGGTTGTGTGTGTGTGTGTGTATATATGCTGTGTCCAATAAATTGCAATAAATTAATTGCAATAAATAAACAATATTAGTACGAAACGTATGTTTGATATTTTACGCTTCAAAGAAGTGTAAAATATTAAACGCAAAAGTATTAATTCTTAGTATCTAATCTGCATACGTGAAACATTATATATATATACAGGGTGTTCAAAAAGTCCCGGACCGGTGAAATATCTCGAAAACTAAGCATTTTAGAAAAAAATGTTTCAGATAAAAGTTGTAGGGTTTCAAAAGATCTATTTACTGATCTTATCAGTTTGACCTTGGATGGCGTCGCCAAGGTCAGATCGAAATCACATTAACTTTTTTAAATGGAACTGCCTACTTTTTATTGCATATTCTTGTAGCTTATCTCGAGACCTTTCCAAAACACTATAAACAAATGTATTTTCGTTAAGTATTTTTCGAGTTGTGAAGCTTGAAAGTTACAATACATTACAGCTTTCAAGCTTCACAACTCGGAAAATACTCAACGAAAATAAACTTTCTTGTAGTATTTTGGAAAGGTCTCGAAATCGGCAAGGTTAGAAAAATTCAAAATGAC